TAGGGGACTGGAGGCTAAAACATATAAGGAACGGTTGCTGGAATTGGGTATGTCTAGTTTAACGAAGAGAAGGATGAGGGGGGACATGATAGCAGTGTTCCAATATCTCAGGGGCTGCCACAAAGAAGAGGGAGTCAAGCTATTCTCCAAGGCACCTGAAGGCAGGACAAGAAGCAACGGATGGAAACTGATCAAGGAGAGAAGCAACCTAGAACTAAGGAGAAACCTCCTGACAGTTAGAACAATTAACCAGTGGAACAACCTGCTTCCAGAAGCGGTAAATGCTCCAACACTGGAAGTTTTTAAGAAGAGACTGGACAGCCATTTGTCCGAAATGGTGTAGGGTTTCCTGCCTAGCAGGGGGTTGGACTCAATGACCTCCAAGGTCCCTTCCAACTTTATTATTATTATTATTATTATTATTATTATTATTATTATTATTATTATTATTATTATTATTATTATTATTATTATTATTATTATTATTATTATTATTATAAATAATTAAATCCCCAAATGTACTTTCATACACTAAGTGAGCCAGGGAGTATAATGGTTAAGATGGTAGACTAAGAGCAGTGAGACACAGCTTCTAATTCTCCCTCAGAATCCAGCTGAGATTCATTCTCTTCTAACAGTATCAGATTCTGTGACCAGCTAACTGATAAACAAACTATCTCTTGCAAAACCAATCAGACCCTGAAACCATGCAGGGCAAACACTAAGAAAAGCAATAATGATCCTATGTTGAACATGAAAATAATGCCTCTTGTTATACATTCTCTGGTTTAAATTTACAATTTTAAAATAATGTTTTGAGAAGCAGAAACCTGTATGTCATTTTAGTATAGCATTAGAAATGTATTAAAAATAAATTACTTAAAATAGAGAAATTTCAAATAATACAGGAAACTGTATTAACAATTAACCATTATGTTCATTAATATGAAGTAATAATAAATGTACAAATAAGAGCAGCAGTTGGAATAGAATTACAATTTTCAGTATTTTCTATAGACTTTCCATTATAATTGAAAAATATTTTAGAAGGTTGTCTTTGTAAAAGAAAGAACATTCTTTAGTTTTGATAACCTCATGACAGTATAAAATAGGGAGAGTCTGTGCTATCTGAATTAATAGCTAAGCCAGAGAACCTCTAAAAAGAAAATGTAATATTAAATATTAGACTATTGTATTTCCAATTTTTAACAGAGAGGAAAGTACATAATAAAACATACTGTTTTGGAATGAAGCAACAGTTGTGTTTCAAGGAGGAGGACACGGCTCAAAAGATTATTCCACTCATTCTCTTCTATAACAATTTTCCCTTGTAGTTTCTTCTCTAAAGTCTGTAACTTTTCGTCCACATTGCTCAATAAATGAAACTTTTGCTGCAGTTCAGCAAGTTGACCTTTCAAGTCTTCTAATTCATTGTCCTTCTTTACAACCTGAAAATAAGATAATTTTCATTCACTGTAGTTATAGCACTGTAGTTAGATTCTTACTAATTACATGAAACATGTAAAGACCTCCACATGAAATCAGAAAGCATATCCATAGTGCTGATTCATTCACTAGAACCTTGTGCACTAGCACTCACAGCACAAAAACCTATAAGTAACAACAAGACTGGTGTAAGTTCTAATAATTCACGTATAACCTGTTGATAGTACAGATTTGATTTTAAATCTGCTCTATAGAAGCAAGCAGGATAGTTATCAAAATATTCATTTCCTGACATTCATTACCTGAAAGACATAAATGAAAAGTATTATCTTTTCATTGATCTCATGGCTGAGTTACATTTGAGTGCAGTTGGACTTCCACAGGACAAAAGTGGACCGAGGGTGGAAAGGGGATTGATTTTGTCATATTTCATTCTTTCCTGCACCATAAGATTGCCTTGTCACAGTGGCAACACTTACAGAACTCTAGAAGCAATTCTTTATATTTATTCATTAGACATAATCAATTTGTTCAATTCAATATAGTAATGCAAAAGCTTTTTATCTAAATACCTTTATTCATATTAATGTTTATTCAATTATGATTTGTCTTCTAGTATTGCTACAAACATTGGTTTTCAAATGTCATTTTAACAAGCAGGAATTGGCCTAAGAAAATAAGAATCGTCTTACCTGCACATCTGTATTATCCAAGACATCAGTGTCATAGTCCAAAACCTCAACCTTATTGACAACATAATCTTTCACTTCCTGCAGTGTTTCACTGATGAAATCTTCAGGGATATGCATGTTAGTTACATTTTTATGACGTTCTATTTGAGGTTTCTTTGCATGTAAAAGACCCCACCCAAAGTAACAGTAAAAAATTTATTAAACAAAATTATTGATTTAAATAAAAAACATTTTGATATAATGTATCTGTGGAATATATTTGCACCAACATTCACTACAAATACTTGCTCTCCTTAATATTACACAGACGAATAATCTCAAGCCTAAAAGACAAGATAGGCCATTTCCTCTTTTTGATTCAACATCAGTCCCATTTGTATAATTATGAGAATCGGTTTAAGTTTCAGTTTCATAATTCAGTTTTACAGAGTATATGGTTAGTGATGGATATAATTTCTTAATATGCTTTCTTAAAAAATGTTATTTGTACTTTTATTTAAAAAAAACTCATTCATAATTGAGAAATCTACTACCGCCAAATATCTTATTCTGCTCGTATTAGGGTTTGAAAAGCAGCCATCAAATGATACGCTAATAAAAGAGAGTTCATTTTAAAAATATCAATCGTAATTGTTTCTTTTTGTCTCTGCTATATATTAATCAGAGTAAAATGGAATAGAAATGTCAATACTCCTAGGCAGCAATATTTCTATGACTGTCCTCATTCAGTGAGAAATAATCCATTAGCAGACTGTTCATATGAAAGATGAGACAACAGAATTGTCAGATTTAGTGCTTTGGGAAAAAAAGAAAATCAATAGATCTTCATTCTATCACCTCAATCACTGATTGATGTACTGAAGGATTCTTTACACAGACTTCTTAAACAAATTAAGATGCAACATAGAACAGATCTGTATTATGAACAGCCACTGATAATCCACCACTAATCTTAAAATATTATTTTGTCTTTTATTTTCATTTTTTTATTATTGTTGTTTTTAATGCTTTGATTTGTAATGCTGGTCTGTGACTGTAATAAAATTGATTGATTATATTATGAATATTTGAGTCATCTTACGGTACGAGGATGGAAAGTTAAAAAAGAGATAAGATCAATTCAGTAAGATAGCATAATGCAGTTCATATCCTCCCAGAACATTATTATTAACAATAAAGCTACTTATGCTGAAAACAGATAAAATATATAACAGTATATTTAAAAATGAAATGTCTCATTTCTTAAGAAAAATATTTAATTCCTATACTAAAGAATATTGAATATTCCTACCTGCTGCAAATCCACAGTATTGATAGCTACAGTAACAGACTGATTAGAAAAACTTGTGTGGGATAGAGATTTAACCAAATGGGTTCTCTTTTCTGTTTGGGATTTTATCTATAAGATATAGAAAGCCAAAATCCAGAGTTAGCCTAAGAACTGCATTGTATGCAAAACAGAGTATGTTTATTATATCAGACTGGTGAAATTCAGGATCTTAAGGTACATGATGGATCATACATAGTTCATATCAGTCATATCAATACGCTAATGGAATAGCACTCGTCAGCAGATAGTATGGGAGGAAGGAAAACTATCTCTCCAAAAACTATTCTGGAAAATGAGATATTCTGACAATTTGGGGATAGGAAATTTTTGGGGAACCTATATGTACAATGGAAACTTTCACACACAAAGCTATTGGTGCAATAAACCTTTCTCATAAATTTCATGAAATTTACAACTAATTTAGTATTTATTCAAACCATTGCAATTTTAACTGCAACATGGATATAGGAAATTGAAGAAAGTAAATGAAAGAATAAAATAAATAAAATTGTATTGTTTCAAACATCAGAAAGAAAAAAACTCTATAGTGTTTAGTAGGTGGCATATAAATTAAAAGATAGGCAATGATTTAATTAATAAAAACATTAATAAAAATGTGAGTTATTAAACAATACTTTGATATTAACTAACTTTTTCTCAAAAATGCAAATTTTTTACATTAACTAGTTTTTTCTTTAAAATGTTAATAAAATTAATTTTAAATACCTTATTCACGTTACTTAATTCTTTGTGCCTTTTATAAACGTAACTAATAATATCACAAACAATCTGTATTTTTCTTTCTGCAAAGCCATATTGAAGGAACTGTTGTTTTGACAAGACTGGTTTATACTGAAATTGATCACGAAGAAGCTGCAGAGAACAGATTTAAAAAAGGAATTTGTTTTCATAATACTTTTTATGTCTGTTCAGCTACAGTAGGTATGGGAAAGTTCCTTTTCATAAAATTCCAGAGGCTTGCTTCTTTCCGTGACTCCTTCTCTGTGTACAGAGGAATTTCTCTAACCCTCACTTTCTCTGAAGAAAAAAATTGAGCACTTTTCTTTGAGCATAAAGAATAAATAACCAAATAGCCTAGGCCACACTTTGGGGAATAAAGCATCCTCTCTGTAGAGATGTTAGCTACAGGACAGCAGATAGTCATAATACAGACTATATAAGAAATTTAAAGTTAGTAGTCTTATAATACTACGCCATAATGTAGTAAAATTTAAATCAATGTTTAAATTTCAGGGTATAATGACCATTTTACTTCTTCATTACTATTAATGGTAACATTGCCATGTTAGCATATTTAAGATATATACCTTATATGTGGCATCAACAAAACGTGAATCATTCTTTGCTGTAAGTTCCATCCCTGATTCCATTACAAGTTCTGCAATATATGTTGAGAATGATGTGAAACAGTAGCTAATGATTGGTAAAAACACAGATGGATCACCCTTTGCCAATCTGTAATGGTGAGGAAAAACTAGATAAGAAATTACTGATAATTCAAAACCTTGCATCACAGTAGTTTTATTTCTATACTTCTGAAACATCGTCAGGAAACCATGGCTACATTTAATTAAAATTATTTTATAATTACATTCTGTTTCCAGAATCATTAATCTGCATTTTTGGGACTAAGTGTATATTACTCTTAAATACGTAAAAACAACAAAATTGAAACAGAGTAGTTTTCTTAAGCTTTTCCTAAAATAGGACTGGATTTATTTCTTAACTTTAGACAAAACATTCACTGCCTAGATAATATAGTCTAAGTTTTATTAAAAGGATGCAAAAAGTAGTATTTATATGGAGAGAGATGTTGCAACAACAAATCACTATGCACTTGATATGTGCTGTAGCCTATTTTAAATACCGTATTCTGAATTTCATTGAAGTTTTGAGTCATAAATAAAATAGTAGGAATCTATTTAAACAATAATAATCACCAGTTTAAAAATCATCTAGCAGTTAATGTAATCTTAGCTAAATATTTATTGAAAAAAATGCTATGGCATGGAAACAAATTACCTATTTATTTTATTATGATTCATTTATAAGTAAATGGGATGATAAATCTGGTAGAACAATTTTTTTTCACCTTACAAACACACAGAGATCAAAGGAACTACCAAAGTCCAACCCTGCTTAGACTCCAGCAACTTTAACATACAGCATTTATTTCTCAATAGTTCTTATTTAATTTTCTAATTATAAGCCACCAGAGCAGACAGAAAAATTGCCTATTGGTAAAATTATTTCTGTTTAAAAAAATACAGACTTTTCTTCTGCACTGGAATGGGATGACTCAGTGAGGCCAACTTGGCATGGCCAGCTCACTACCGTCACTTCTGCCAACTCATTATCGCCAAGTTATGGCAGGACAACTCAACAGGGCCAATTCGCTGCAGGGACAACTTGCCAGGGAGAGCCGGGTGGGTGAACGAGCAGGTGGGCAGAGTGCAGAGCAGCAGCAGCTGGGGGCTTCCTATTTTCACACACACACACCAGCACTGCACCAAGCTCCAAGCCATTCAGAGTTTGGGTTATTCAGGGATGGCAGGGAAGCGACAGAGACCGGATGCATCCCATTTTCACACACCCCTGGGCCATTTGGCAGAAGTGGCGGTGTTTGGGCCATTTGGGGGGTAGTGGCAGTGGGTGGGCAAGCAACTTTTCTTACACAAAGTTTCCATTAAATCAGATTCTCTGGAAACAAAGTAAAACAAAGAGTAATACAGATGATATAATAATTTATCATTTAACAACGAATGTATCCAAAAGTTCCTTTTCCTGTCCTAAGAATGATGCAGCAAACCATCTTCCCATCATTTATTTTTAGATCAATGTCACATGATGTTACTTCTTTCATCCAGAAAATTCCAGAGAGGCAAACCTTAAACAAGTCATATGTTTCCATTCTAGTTTGTTTTGATCAGAAGAGACTGCTTTGCTATATTCAGATAATACTGTACATTATTTAAAAACAAAGAATAGAATGATTTGCTGAGCAAAAAAATTCAATCGGCGATTCACCAACAAGCTACATTTATACCACAAATTGGCTATTAATATGCTTCCACTTACCCCATATAATCTACATCGCTAGGATAATTTATAACCCGAAGTTTTTGTTCTATCTTATGCAAGTTTCCTTTTAAGTCTCCTGTAGCCATGGTATAATTATTCTTTTAATTACAATACATGCCTAGAAAGCAGAATAATTTTGTATTACAAATTTTATTTACTCATTCATTCATCTAACAGGTTCAACTAACTCTAACTACAAGACATTCATAAAATCAACACAAGTAAAATAACAATACAATACAAAATTCTGCAAAGCAGTGTTCCATAACATTGGGACATTACAGAAAATAGTTCTAATTCCCATTTCTTTCATCTCACAACTTTACTTCACAAACTTTCGCATAAGAGACAATCAAATCAGACAGGATAGTTCTATCTAGAGAAGGTAGTTCTGAAGTCAAACCATGTTAGAGTTTAAAAATTAAAAGCATCACTTTGAATTGCACCCAGATGTTTACTGGGAATCACTTCAATGTCTCCAATACTGGAATTGTACAATTTTAGCTGTTCTCACTTCCAGCATGAAGACTATTTAATACAGTACTAAATGGGCTTTGAGTTGTCTTCAAAGGCAGGCCCATATAAAGTAGAAATTCCCAGTAATTGACAAGGCAAGCCACTAATATATAAACAGAGAGCAAATCCCACTCTCTTCTGACACTGATGATGTTACCTAGTTTGGTAAAGAAATGTCTGCAAGAAAACAACAAAGTTCAGAAAGCACTGAGGACCCCTCAGAATGAAAGTGCTCTAACTAGGGTTTCCACTTGTGCATCTTTCACAATCATGACTCCAATAGTATTCCAAGTCACAGACCTGCTTCTTCAGGAAAAATGCCACCCCATCCAGAGTTAACAGAGAGATAGATGTTCCATTGTATTCCCCAGCCTGCTCAAGGATGGAGATGTAAAATAGGGAAATCAGAAAACCAACTCCAAACCAGCATACATCTTTTCATCCCATGCTGGGTTGACTGTTTTCACTGCTTATTTTAAAAAGGGGAAAGCCTTGCATGCATTCGTTGGTAGGAAAAAAGATCAAAGTTGGATAGCCAAAACTTGTTCCTAACAAATTTCATGAAAGAGATCCCACACTGGGCAGGAAGAGGAAAGAGAGAGCAGAAGTTAAGAAGACTGTACCCGCTTGTTTCCATTTACTTGACTAGGGAAAGCAATCTACCGTCAATCACTTTTCATTCTCCCAACACTTAAATTTGCGGGGCCCTTGGTGCTCCCTGAACTTGTTTTCTTGCAGACATTTCATTACACTAACTAGGTAACATTATTAGAGCTAGTTGGAGGAAACCCCACTCCCTACGAGCACTGACGATGTTACCTAGTTTGGGTAATGAAACGTCTGCAAGAAAACAATCAGGCTTAGGGGGCATAATTTCAACTTTTTATCGGTACTTACATTTGCACCTAGGATGCGCTCCTGGACAGTCAGAGAAACTGGCGAACTTCTCAAGGACCGGCCAAGGAGGGCGTTTGAAGGCGCTCAGGGGTGGCTTCTGCCGTTGATGCTCAGTCCAGCCGCTTCAATCTGAAAAAGGCTAGACCCGCCTTTTCCTGGCGCGCCTGGCTGCGGTTTCACCTCCACACTGAGCGGCAGTTTAAGCGCTCCCGCGGGCAGCCAAAGCTAGTTTTTGTTTCAGGTCCACAGACTCCTGACTTCTTTATTCCAGCCCCTGTTTAGAAACGCACGCCCTAGCAGAGGCTTCTCTAGGGCGGGAATCTCAAACGGGGAAAAAAATATCGCCTCAGTGATTGCTTCGGTTCCCCTGATCGAAAGTGTCGAGCCGGATCTACAGAGAACTTCCCCGCGCCGCAAGATCCGATGCGTCACTTCCGGTAAAAACAGATGCGGCGGCCGTTGCTCTAGTAGCCGCCAGGAGATCGAAAGTGAGTCTGCGGGAGCGGGCGCGGATGAGGTGACGACTCACGTTTGTGCGCATGGAACCGGAAGCCCTCTGGGAAGCTGGCTTGCTCCAACGGCTGCCAGAAGCTGCGTGACTCCGCGCTCTCTCGTTTCGAAGGCTCGCACCCAACTGGAAGCCGAGTCGTCGCGGCGGCGGTTGGAACCTCAGCTCGTACAGGTAATGTGGGTCAATATCCAGGCGAGAAGTGGCCTTGAGGGCTTTTTATAACCGTCGATCTCGGCTATATCATATTTGAGACCAATCCTGAACTAAAGGTGGCACTGTCTGTTCCTTTTTCTTCCACTCCTGTAGGAAACTAAAGAGCAGTTGGAAACAGGTGTAAGATGCTGTTTGTATCTCAACACAAGTACGAGTATGTCAGTAATCCTGACGGGACATTTCCTAATTGTGAGATGTTGTTGGCTTTTAAATTAGTTTCCACATTACAGATTTCACCTACGATGTATCCCATTCATCGATGTGGACCATGGCAATTTCAGCTTGGAATGTAAGAGGCATAAAGGATAGAAAGTAAAATGGGTGAAGTGAAAGAAAAATATATTGCATGTTTGAAACGATGATTAAAAAGAAAAATTTATGAATCGGTATATGAATATGTTCAAAGCAAGACTGGCTTGCAAGGATAAAAAGGATGGCAATAGAAACAACGAAGTTTGTATAAGCAATATTTAGTTACGTTTCCTTTTATTTCATGCTGTTAATTTGCTTTGCTTTTTATTTCAGTTATATGCCATTTTATCAATTATTCCAGACATTTTATTTTAAAAAATTGTTTCTGAAGGCCATTTTTTAAAAAGCAAATACTTCAAAAGTATTTGAAGGGGCACTCTAGCAGATGTTTTTGAAAGAATTCTAAGAGTGCAGACAAGATTTTATTACAAATTGGATTTCTAGGTTTTTAACACTGTGTATCAATATTACTTTGAGATTCATGTGCTTCTGTAATTATGCATTTTTGTGATTCCCATAAATTCATCATCAACACATTTAAAGCCACATAGGCAATGTTTTTCTGGTGTTGCTGATAATTCATAAAATCTGAACAGTTATTCATTCTTGGATAATTAAATACTACAGTCTAAAATATGTACAGTATAAAATATATTTTTAAGTAACAATTCTGAATGAAAGAAATACTATGTGAGAAAACTGATGAAAAATTCCTAACAGTATTGTTTTCCCATTATAGTAGTTAGCTGGCATTGTACACAGACAAAATATTTCTCTTAGTCTTTTGTGTACTACCTTTGTTCTCTGAAATGGTACATTTAGATATAAGAGACCTATGAAGTTAAATAGTTAGAAAAATGGATTGGACTAGGTTCATGAAGATCAGTTGATGACTTTAGGCCAACTATTCTGTTTCCAAAGCCTACAAGACAGGTTTGTTTTTAGAAAGAAGTATTGTCAATCTGGGCTGTTGGTTTGATTTCCAAGCTTGGCGATTTGGCTGCAAATGTTTAGTCTCCGTTCTGGGAGACATCTTTAGTGTGCTTTGAATTGTGCTCATCAGTCAGAGCACTGGCCTTTAAATACCTTTTGTGTAATGTAAATTGGTGTGCGTATTATTTGTCCGGATATTTCTGAGTCATGGTCTGGTTTCTGGCTGTTTGATTGGCTAGTTGTTGTTGCTGGGCCGTAATCTTTGGTATTTAACTATCATCTGTGTGATACAAATGATGTTTGTTCATTTGGTTGCCTCTGAGTCATGGTCTGGTTTCGGGTTGTTTGGCTGGCTGGCTGTTGTTGAGACATGGTCCGGTTTCTTGTGGGGGGTTGTGATTTTTGTTGCCTGTTCATTTTCAATGCTGCCTTCGGGATTGTGATTGAAGTAGTTCTTTCGTTCTCAGCGGTTGGTAGACTGGGTCAATGTGTCTGTTTATTGACTTGGTGGAGAACTAGGCTTCGAGGACTTCTCTTTCTCCCTTTGATTTTGCTTGGGTTACTACTGTGGTCCTAGTTAGATCAAACTTCAGTCCTTCTGAGTCTTTGTGGATGGACATGAGGTCGTGTCTTTTGATAGCCAAGAAGTGTTTGTGCAGTCTGGTAGATAGTTTTCTTCCCGTTTGGCTCACATAGTTCTTTTCACAGTTGCTGCACTGGATTCAGTATGATGCCTGATCTTTGGTTTGTTTCTGTCTGCTCCTTAGGTTTTGATAGGGTCTGTCTGACAGTTGAAGCTAGTTTGTGGGCTACTGCGAGGTCATGTTGGCTTAGTAGTCTTGCTATCACCTCTGAAACAATTTGTACATAGGGAATTGTGATTTGTCAGGTTGTTGTTGTTTCTGTTGTAGTTGTTGTGTTGCTTTGGGTGTTTGTATTGTTGGTGTGTTGTGATCTCCGGATGAAGTTTCGTGGGTATCTGTTTCTGTCGAATACTTTGTATAAGTGTTTTCGTTCTTCTGATCTGGCTTCCATGGTATTGCAATGGGATTCCAATCTCCCGAACAGTGTTCTGACCCAGCTTTGTTTGTGACCTTTGGGGTAGTTGCTGTGGAAGTTGAGGATTTGATCTGTATGAGTTGCCTTCCTGTCCACGGATATTAGAAGTTGGCCATTAGTGGTTCTGGTTACAAGGATGTCCAGGAATAGCAGTTCATTGTTACTCTTGGTTTCTATTGTAAATCAGATGTTTGCGAAGACGTTGTTGATTCTTTAGTAGGTTTGGTCGACCTGGTTGCGCTTGATTATCATAAAGGTGTCGTCCACATAACATACCCATAGCTTGGGGTTTATTTGTGGAAGTACAACTTCAATTTTCTGCACGATGACTTCTGCAACCAGGCCAGATGTAGGAGCTCCCATAAGCAATCCCTTCAGTTGTTCATAGATCTCTCTGTAAAATTTGAAGTAGGTGGTTAAACATAGGCTGGAGGAATTCACATGTGTTTTCTATTGTGAGTGGTCCTCTTGGTAGTTGTGTGTTATCCAGTAATTCTTGATGATATCAATTGCTAATTTTAGATCTACTGATGTGAATAATGTGTTAACTTTGAATGATATTGTTTCGTCTTCATCAATATGTGAGTGTTTGAGCTTTGTCCAGGAATTGCGTTGTTTATGGAATGTCAGGCAATTCCATCAACAGACAATTGATCTACAACCAGCCTACGAACCCCTCAAAATCCAAATCAACTGCACAGCCAACCAGAGACAGCACCAACCCTCAACCAACCCATTCAGGTCCCTCCCAGCACACCTCCCAATGACCCTCACCTGATGTAACCTCCCCATCACAAGACCCTTACTTGACACACCCACACCTGACCCATCACAAGACCTACTGACCACACAAAGACCTTATAAACAGAAGAACACTGACATCCCCTAAACTCCGCTAAAGATGTTACCTAACGTTGTAAGGAAACATTCGGAAACCAACCCGCAAGCTCACCCTCATTTTGGAATGTTTCAAGCTTCAAAATATTTCCAAAAGGACTAAATACAGCATTTTAAAAGCAGCATAACATCGCATCCTGTAAAAGGGCTATTTTCCGTTCAAAATGTTTCCCATGACAGTTGTGAAAACCTACTTCATAGTTCACTTAGTACTTGAGATACATGCAAAACACATTAGCGATCAAGAAATTTGTTTGTCATAGTTTCATTAAAATATGGGTCCACTCTTTCCTGAACAAAGTTTACTTCAGAACTGTACATGAGAATATTAGATGTTATAGAATTCAGAAGTTGTGAAACGTGAAAAATATTAAAAGAACAAAGACTTATTTTCTTTCCCATGAATGCATTATATTTTAGCTGTTGAAGTTATGCTGTTTCTTAATTATTTTGATAATGAATGAACCACTGATCTAATTTCATTTTTTGGTATTAGAAGTGCTTGTAAGTAAAGAATATCTTATAAATTATCCTGGATGCTGACATCTCTATTGCGTTTACTTATTCGATTTTCCTTTTAGTTGATTACTATCTGTGCAATGATTACTTTAGCATACCAATTCAAGGTTTCTGAATTCAGAGATTATTTGAAAGATGTTCCTTGTTTTTCCATGCCTGTTTTTATCTTCAATTTCTTTACAGATGCTTTTGTAATACTGTTTCTTGCCTCTTCTAATAGCTATAAAACAGTGATGGCGAACCTTTTAGACACTGAGTGCCCAAAAACTGCCCTGCCCGCTCTGCCCCTGTTCCGCGCCCCGCCCACCCGCAGGGCCACCTACCGCCTCCACGGCCCACCGCTGCAGATCGCCCAGGTGGTCCTGTAGCACCATGGTGGCCACACCCTCCGCCCGTGCCCCACAACATCTGCGCATGACAGAGTCTTGTCCCTGCTATCCGGCTGCCGTGTCTTTGGCTGCGCTGCTGTGCGCAGCTGCACCCGGGTGCAATTCTCCGGGGGGGCTGCTGGTGAGGGGGCCGCGGGGGGAGGTGGGGCGACGTGTGCCATAGGTTCGCCACCACTGCTCTAAAACAATTTGCTAAATTCCTTTCTGAGAGTTTTGCCTTTCTTTGCCTTGGCTTGTTTCCTTTTTGCTGTTTCTTCACATTTATCCTTCTTTAAGTCCATTCCATAATTCCTTGTTTCTTCTGTCGATAAAGTTTAGGATTTCTGAGTGATTTCTGATGTTTTCTTTGAAACCAGTCACTATATAGTATGTTCAAGATGATATGGAAACTGACTGGCTTTCTTTTTCTTCTTGAGCTTAACTTGAAGATTGTTCATAAGCAGTTTGTGATTGGTTCCACAGTCAGCACCTGACCATGTTTTTGATGCTGTAATTGAACTCCTCCACCTTTTTTAGCAAAAATATAGTCAGTTTGATTTTTGTACGTCCCATCTATAAGCAACA